TGCTGACCCACAATCTTTGCAATCTGCTGCATAATGTTCTGAACACAGGATAGACTAGGCATGTCTGAACAGGACTACAAAAGCAGAGAACAATCAAGTAGCTACCTGGTGCTGCAAATTTATGCAAGAATTGGTCTCGATATTAACTTGTATCTATTTGCTAGCAACAATTATATCATTATGTATTGAGCAAAACATTCTACTGGAGCATCAGTGTTCCTTTTTAAATCCACTTTGTACTAATGGTGAACACAATATCTGCATATCTCTTGCAGGTTGTAATGTACAAAAACTGATTTTAAAACGTGGTATAGGGGTACAGGATCCAGCTTTGCTGCTTTCCAACAGGACACTAAAAACACTTTAATAAACTCTGGGACAAAATGTCTCTCCTTACATTCCCAGACTCAGAAATGAAATCACCTGACATGTTTCAGTACAGAATAAATGACAAGACTGGAAGAAAAATAAATAAAAAATTAAAATTTCCACTACACGTATTGTTACCTCTATAAAAACACAACATATACTCCCTGAGCTAGACAAGGCTCTGGCCGAATCTATAAAATGTTGCCCAAATGTCTGTTAATACTGAGGCCTGCATAATCATTTGTAAAATAGGTCTACTACAGTTTGCATTGATTATGTTGGGCCTGATGGTTTAAAAACTATTTCCCATTTTCAAGTACAAAAGGTGCGCTCCTCAATATGTCTGCTTATACGGAAATCCCTAGCACCTAGTTCCTCCAGTATTTGCCTCTATAAATACTTTTGATAAAATGTGGTACTCAGGACAGAGTACACTTCAACTAAAGAGTGTGTAAAACACAAACAGCTGCTTGCCAGTCAGTCATAACATAAACCACATTTTCACAAATATAGGATAGAACCAGTCAAGATTAAAAGTAAATATGATTATCAGCTGTTGAAGCTACTGGTGAAGGGGGAGGGTAGTTTTACTGCCCTGAAGAAATAAAGCAACCTCCCATTTGTCACATTATACCACTGAATTACAGTTTGGCATAGGTTATCTACATTTAAACTGTAGTGAACTTGTCATATCAGCAACCTGAACGTCTACAGTGCTGGACCAAACAAAATCCTCATCTCACAGAGGTATGACCCATTTCCAGAAGCTACTGATAGCTAACCTCTGGCAATACGTGTTCTGCATGATTTACATTCACAATGATGCCCTGCCAGACAAAAATAGCCACATAGAGTACCAAATACCTATTATTGCTCACACAAAAACACCACACAAACTGTCCTCGCAACATTAGTTTACATAATGCTCATGACCTGCATGGCCCGTTTTATTTCGGAACCAGATGTCCTATATATGAATCGACGCTGACATTGTGTAATTTACTCCAGAAATATCTGTGGTATCAAGGTTACTTACCGCTAACAAAAACCACCAACCAACCTCTGACCCAGTAGGTGCCCATACACATTAATGTGCTGCTTACATGCAACTTACAATGTTGGCCTCAAACAGTAGCTGTAATATTTGGCATGAGCCCATTGCACCAAATGTCCCCAACCTACAGCCTGCCCAGCACCTGTTAAGCATGGTGTCTGTTACCTGCATAGAAGCGGATGAGACAGCCTAGTTCAGGCTCCATGCCCTCCTCTTGCACCCTGCACAGGTCCCTAAAGCCCAGCTGGAAGAGGTAGTCATTCTGCACTTGCAGGGGCTTCTCGTGTGGCTCCAGTCTCCGGCTGCTCTCCCCATGGAGTTGCACATACAGGGCCCCCAAGGCCCCACTCTCCTTCACAGCCCGCAGCGGCCGGGCCGGCACGGTGACCGCCTGCGAGCTCGGGACATCCCCCGCCAGTTCCTCCACCGATGATGAGGAAGAGGAGGAAGCAGCCCCGCAATGGAAGAGTTCCAGCCCCTGGCACACAGTGGGGCTCAGGCTGTCAGAGTCTGAATTGGGGTGCACTCCTTCCTCCCCAGGGAACCCATTCACTGACCCCGCACCCCAACACTCCCTGCTGAGCCCGATCACTGCGCTGCCCGGGCACCCCAGCTGTTCCTCCTTGCGGCTCACTTTGTGGGGTGTGCCCACCCATGACCCCCTGTCCGGGGCAACCTCGCTAGAGACAGGCTCCGGGCCCAGCACCCTCAGGACCGATGCTGAGGCCCCTCCGGGCCGCAGAAGGCGGGCTGCCACCTCGCTGGCCGGGGTATCCAGGGTGCAGAGCAGCGGCCTGAGGCCGGGGGAGGCGTGCCGCTCATACACATGTATGCAGCCTCTCCGCAGCTCGCCGCGCACCCACTCCCGCTCCTGGGGCTGCAACTGCACCCACTGCCGGGGCTTCAGCAGGCTCTTTCTGTCCAGGCTGCGGGTACCAGGCCCCGGGGAGGGGGCGGCAGAGCTCTGGGTAACGGCCGACACGTTCCTCTTCACCCGCCGCCTTCTCCGGAGCAGCAGCGCAGAGTTTGCACTGGAAGAGCCAGCGGGGCCCGTCACGGCTGGAGGAGACAGGAGACTGGCCGGGGCAGGGCTGCCATCAGTCAACGGGCGCCCCGGCAGGGAGATCCCAGCTGGTCCCTGCTCCATAGCTCTGGACGGGAGGGAAGCCCCGAGCATTGCACGGGAAAAACGCCAAGGCTCTACGGAGAGTACACGAACATTCCACGGGAAACAAGCCAACGGCTACGGAGAGTCCACGCACATTCCACGGGTAACAAGCCAACGTCTACGAGGAGTCCACGCACATTCCACGGGTAACAAGCCAACGTCTACGGAGAGTCCACGCACATTCCACGGGTAATACTCCAAGGTTCTTACAAGAGTCCACAAACAATCCACGGTAAACACTCCAGGGTTCTACGCACATTCCACGGGTAACCCTCCAAGATTCTAAGGAGAGTCCACGAACATTCCACGGGTGATACTCCTAAGGTCTATGGGCATTCCACGGGAAACACGCCAAGGTTCTACGAAGAGTCCCCAAACATTGCACAGCACACAGCTCTTATGGGCACTTCCCATACATTCCAGGGCACGATCCGCAGCCGGTGTGCATTCCTAGGAAGCCCAGGATCTGCCCTGCGCCATCATGGAGATGATGTTGATGATCCAGCATTCCCTCCTTAATTGCTTCAGACACAGCACGGCCCCCGCCACTCCATGCACTGAGGGTGTGTGCCTGCTACCGGAGCTCATTAATATGAAGCAGCTCCACGAGCGATGAGGAGAGCGCCACTCACTGGCCACTAGGGCTTATCACTATCTAGTGACACCCTGCGTCACTGGAACGTGCTAACACGGGATGACAAGCGCCAAGCACCGATTGAAGAGCAGCTAACGCCCTCTAGTGTTGTGAAATAGGCGGGTGGGGCCCAGTACTAACGTCCTTTGTGAGAGTCTGAGGTGGTGTTAGTATGGAGCTTAGTCACTAATGTGGGGATTAAGTATTAAGAAGAGAGGAAATTGCAAATTTTAGAGCAAAACAGCCAAAATGTAAAAAAGCTAAATTGGAGAGCTGGCTGCTAAGTTCTAAAAGTTTGCAATTCTTTACAAGCCCTGATTCATTCATTTATTTATTTATTTATAAAATATTTTACCAGGAAGGATACATTGAGATTTCTCTCGTTTTCAAGTATGTCCTGGGTCTTTGTCCACAAAACATTGCATTGTTACAATAGGATAAAATATTCCAAAAATAGAATATACAAACTATATATACAAATTTAATACATAACAGGTAATAAATATAGTCAACCATGACAGGTGCATTCTGTGCTGAGGTATATTGCCATAGATCACTTAAAAGAGTTCAGATTGAATGAAGATTTGACTGTGTGCCGGAGGTTATTCCATAATTGAGGTGCTCTGTAGGAAAAGGAGGATCGAGTCACTTTATTTTTGTATTGTGGTATGCTAAATATCGTGCTAGTACTGGATCAGACGTTATAGTAGGTGGGAACAGCCGGGGAGAGTATTCTACTCAGGAAGGGTGGGAGCGTCCCAGAAATGCTCTTATGCACAAGGCTGGAAAGATGAAGATTGCGTCGGGATTCCAGCGACAGCCAGTTTAGCTCTGTTAACATGTCACAGTGGTGGGTAAAGTAATTACATTCTAGTACAAAGCGGCAGAACGAATTATATAATGTATTAAGTGTATTAAGGTGGGTTTGCGGTACAGGTGCATGCACTACATTCCCAACGACAGACAGCATTTGTTGCACATTCTGTTTCCTTACTGTAGGGCTTAGGCAGTTTGTTTCTGTATAGGGTACCTAGTTTTGGGTAAAGTTTTGAAGAGATTTTTTCAATGTGAAGGCCAAAGGATAGATTGGGGTCTAGCAACACACCTAGATATTTAACCCCTGTGTGACATGTCATGATTCCCTTTTATTCCAGAAGTTTGGTCCTTAAGGGGTTAAAAGAGCAGACTGCTGTCAGCGTGCTATTTGAATTTGTTCTGATACACAATTATTTATTTTGTAGTTTATGTGATTTAGGTACAGTTCCAAAGACCATTGTCACGTTTTTTTCAGTGTTTAGGAAGAGTTTGTTATCCGCTATCCACTTTTCTACCTCTGTGAATTGGTTTTGGAGCACAGCCTCAAGCTGCGGTAGCTTGGGTTTACTAGTGTAGATTACTGTGTCGTCTGCATACTGTGTACATACGATCGAAACCAAGTTATTGTCACCACTTTTATGGATAGGTACAACTTTTGCAGTCTTCAAAAATTTGGGTATGTATCCTGACACCACAGATTAATTGATAAGGGTAGTAACAGGTTTAGCAATTGCTGGCACACCGAGTTTCAGTAACATTGCTGGGATTAGATCTGGTCCACACTGGTTTTTTATTTTTAAATTATTGAGATGTTTATTAAAGGGACACTATAGTCACCCAGACCACTTCAGCTCAATGACGTGGTCTGGGTGCCAGGTTCCTCAGATTTTAACCCTTCACATGTAAACTGTTTACATTTGGGGTTAATCCAGCCTCTAGTGGCTGTCTTCTGGATGTCAGATGGGGGAGCTGACGTCGGACGGGGAGGAGAGGTCACCAGCGCCGAGGGAGCCCGGCGCTGGATTAAGGTAAGTGGCTGAAGGGGTTTTAACCCCTTCAGCGCCACAGGAGGGGGACCCTGAGGGTGGGGGCACCCTCAGGGCACTATAGTGTCAGGAAAACCGCTTTGTTTTCCTGACACTATAGTGATCCTTTAACAACACTAACAGGCACAGGTCTAAAATTGAATTTCTCTAAATGAGGATTTTGAAGATTTGGGAGGGCCTGATCTTTATTTGCGATCTGAAAATGAGTGAATTTACTGAAGAAACCTGCACGTTTCTTGGAAAAATTGCTAAACTGGCAAATTTTTCCATTCTGGCTATGAGGACCACAAATTTGCAGTTCCTCAGTGAAAGCAGTTCTCTCTTTACTGTATAACCTTGGTAACGTCACACATAAACAAAGAGAATATAAGACATGTGTTCCTCTTGCATGAATTTGTGTGTGTGTGTGTATATATATATATATATATAAATGGAACAAATTGAGAGCACTCATTGGATTTAGTAGAAAAAAATATTTTAAATCAAACGCATATAAATCAACGTTTCGACCGTCTAGCGGTCTTTATCAAGATGCTATGACATGTGAAAATCTCAAATATATACAATCTCATGTGTTAAACTTACCCAATCACCAAGTGCACCCTGTTTGTCCGGTCTGCTCTGTGAATAGAGCCGCAAACCGAGGACTGTCAAGCATACTGCCGAAAAGTGACATAAAGCACAGCCACCAAGTGTTGCCTAGAAACGGCAAAGTTGTTTTAAAAAAGAAAAAAATCGGAGTAAAATTAAAAGCATGTATGGAGGAAAAAGAAATAAAGTCTGATTACATGGTCTTAAATGTATATGAGTGTGGAATGTTAAAGACAGCAGTATGAATGAAAATGGGTTAGCCAAAGGTTAACCAGAACAGGTTAATGTGTGTATGCATGCTGAATAAAGAGACGAAAAATAAAATAAAAAAAAAATTATTAGATCATTTAGGTCATTCTGGACCTACATCATTTACTATCCCGTGCTTATTTATTCATTACATCCTTTTTTCACCTGCATACATTATAATTTTTCATATTTCATATGTATTATAGCTACAGTTTTTAGCTTTCACAACACACTATACCTGTCTTAGACCAGTACATTTTGCTACCTCACAACACATAGTCTTTCCACTACGGGTCTTCATGATCCAGCATATTTACACATATTAGTTTGTTGAGTCACATTTGGTTTTCGTTACACTGGTTACACATTGTATAATATTTTCGTATGGGGGTTGCATCACTATCATTTTCCTCATTCTGTTCACATAGCATTTTGTAGACCATCTTTACCTCAGCTTACTACTCTCTTGTCAGTTCACCACACATTTCATTTGTCCGTTTCACATACATCTCCAGCAGCACGCATTTTTTATTTTTGTTACATATTTAGTCTATTCAGATCACATAGACTTTTTTGATACAGTTCTTCTTTTTTCCATTTCATACACTATCGTACATCTCACACATTTGACTTCTTTGCAATGCTCCACACATTCACTGAGCTTTTTTTCATTTGTCTAATTTTTTTTTTTTTCCTCCTCTTCTCTTTATTCAGCATGCATACACACATTAACCTGTTCTGGTTAACCTTTGGCTAACCCGTTTTCATTCATACTGCTGTCTTTAACATTCCACACTCATATACATTTAAGACCATGTAATCAGACTTTATTTCTTTTTCCTCCATACATGCTTTTAATTTTACTCCGATTTTTTCTTTTTTAAAACAACTTTGCCGTTTCTAGGCAACACTTGGTGGCTGTGCTTTATGTCACTTTTCGGCAGTATGCTTGACAGTCCTCGGTTTGCGGCTCTATTCACAGAGCAGACCGGACAAACAGGGTGCACTTGGTGATTGGGTAAGTTTAACACATGAGATTGTATATATTTGAGATTTTCACATGTCATAGCATCTTGATAAAGACCGCTAGACGGTCGAAACGTTGATTTATATGCGTTTGATTTAATATATTTTTTTCTACTAAATCCAATGAGTGCTCTCAATTTGTTCCATTTGTATATTTTGCACAGAGAGGCACCTGGTCATTGCTGAATTAATGCTTTTGCTATGGGATGAGTGCCAGAAACTATTGTGATTTATATATATATATATATATATATATATATATATATATACACACACACACACACACACTGATCAGCGACTGATAAGTGATGTGAATAACATTGATTAGATCTTTATAATGGCACCTGTCAAGGGGTTGAATATATTTGGTAGTAAGTGAACAATTAATAATTTTCAATCTAGTGTTTTCCTAAATTTTATAGCAAGACAGGAGGCTCGTATTATGCATTAACTTTCTTTACTTAACTCCAGCAGCAAATACATTTTTTCAATAAAAATTAGTGAATAAAAGACAAAAAAAAAGAGTGACTGAAATGGAACACTCAGTAGCCAATCAGCATCCGGCATAATCTATATAGTGAATGATCCCCAAAATGCTTCCTTTTTGCTGCTTCAGTAGAGATAAGTATCATGTATATTCACTAATGCTACTGTTTTCTATATTATTATTATTGCCGTTTATATAGCGCCAACAGATTCCGTAGCACTTTATAATATTATGAGAGGGTGGATTAAACTATAAATAGGACAATTACAAGAAAACTTACAGGAACAATAGGTTGCAGAGGACCCTGCTCAAACAAGCTTACAGTCTATAGATAAATACCTTCTGTTTTGGTTAAAAAAAAAATAAATAAATAAAAAAAAAAATATATATATATATATATATATATATATAATATGAGGTGATCCAGGAGGCACTCACATGTCTTGAATTATAAAAATGTGATTTATTGTATAAAGATTACATACAGTTTGATCAAACTGTATGTAAACTTTATACAATAAATCACATTTTTCTAATTCAAGACCTGTGAGTGCCTCCTAGATCACTTCATTGTATTTTTGGACGCTTTCGGAGTTGCATCAAGGCAAGTTTTTTCGTATGTATTTTTTTAAAGGACAGTGCCAAGCTATCACAATTTATTATTTATATATATATATATATCAGTCCAGACTATGACACTCAACCCCAAAAAAAACGAAAGTAGTGATATTACCAGGGTGCCTCCAGGCCAGTAGATATGAAGGTAAAAACAGGAGCACTCACTTGGATTTTTCAAACGTGTATTAACAGTCTTAACACAAATCTACATCAACGTTTCGACCCTTCAGGGTCTTTATCAAGATCTTAAAAAGTGGGAGGCACATATACAAACTGTTGTAATTTCTACACCGTTCACCTAATTTGGATCTAAATGCCGTCAAATTAAAGCTGAAAGTCTGCAGTTAAAGCACATTTTGTTTGTTTCACTTCAAACCCATTGTGTTGGTGTATAGAGCCAAAAAGATTAGAATTGTGTCGATGTCCCAATATTTATGGACCTGACTGTATATATATATATTCCTTTATTTTGTATGTTTTCTGAAGTAATTTTTATATATTTTTCTTATATATATTTGGTTTTATGTGCACTGGCATTCATGCCTTTTAAATCAAATTGAGTTTGCGGATTGTCCACGTTCGTAGTTTTCTTATGAATCGCGACAATTTAGTTATTTTGAATTACTTGAGTTAGGGAGATTCTTGCGAATCGCAGCAGTTCGGTTATATGTATTCGTTTATTTGTACTCACGTTCGCAGGTTTTGTAATGAACGTGTATTTCACTGCTCAGTTTAATTCAGCAGTTTTTCATGCAAATCGCTGCGCGATTTCAGTTAGTCCCTAATAGATTGATGACGTTATTATGAGCAGGAATTCCAGTTGGTTGGTTCTCAGCTAACTTTTCCGCCCACTTTACCTCAGCACAGCTTTTTCTCCACAACTTTGTTGCTCTTTGTTCGTAATTATTATAACTTTTAAACTATTTGACTTTCCTGTCAGGATTTTACCTAATCTTTTGCAACATAATTTTACTATTTACTATAGTAATTATAAATTGCAATTTGTTGTAATATTGAACAATTAATTCTTTTTTTTTTATTATTCTTTTTTTTTGTAGTGCAAATAGAAACATACATCATGCCCCAACAGCGAATGGCGAGCAATATGAAAACAGAAAGCTAATGTATTGTAGGCAAGAGTATACATGCACTTTTTTTATAGAATATAAATAACATGCTAGGCTGGCATATCTAGAAGGAGCTTCTTCATTATTGATATCAGGCCTAATAACACCATCAAGACATGTAGAGTATGAGATTGGGCTTTATAAGTGAGGCTAGGCTTGTGTGTCTCATGCAAAACTGAATAGTGTAAACAATCACTCAAAAGACCCTCTGCTCGTCTACCTCCAGTAACCAGGAATCCAGACTCACCAAAGTGGAGCAGAGACTTGAGGAGTTCCACCTGGCCCAGAGAAGCATGGAAACCAGGGTGGACACTCTGGAAGACCAGAGGCGACGACACAACCTTAAACTGAGGGGCATCCCTGACACAATGAGTACAGAAGAAATGCCGCACTACATAAGGCGACTCACCTCCACCCTGCTATCGACCAAACAGGCAAAGGCACTTAAATTGGACGGCATGTTCAGGCTTCCAACACCAAAAAACGCCCCCAACACCGCCACGGCGGACCTTATCCTCCGCTTTCAAACCATGCAAGACAAAGCCTTAATCTCTTCAGCGGTGAGGGGGAAAACCCCTATCCAATTTGAAGGCTCATCCCTGTTAATATTCCCTGACTTAACCAAAAAGACACTACTCTGGCGCACATCTATGAAACCCCTTCTCCGCATCCTAAGGGACCAGGATGTGACCTACCGCTGGTGAAATGCTAGACAACTCACACTTACCCACCCGGGAGGCACCTACAGAGCCAAGAACCCACAAGAACTGGAGGCCGCAATGCGCAGCCTGAAACTACTACCTGAACAGGACACATCGACCACCCGTCTTCGCAACATGGATCCGTCTAAGATCCCGGCTTTTATGCCGAGGTCGACCTCTGGCCACCCGCCTGGATCCCCGGTAACTTGACTGGCCTGTGACACATAGTCCGGCTGCAGGAGATATCTCCACTAACAAGCCTGAAGGACTATACGCGACCGCAGGGGTATGCTGACGAACTGCATACTGAACACC